GTACGAACCCTTTGTACGAACAAACGTAAGAGAAATTTTGGATAAGAATATGAACATGTTCTTGCATGAGGCCCATTGTGAGTGATAACAGATGTCTTATCTTGATAAGTACGCATCAGATATTAGTGTCATGAACTGCCATGGCAATAGCACAACACTGACAACTACCCAGGTGTAATCCTGTTCAGGTTATAAAACTGATTTTCTATTGACTTTGAAATACTGAACATTAAAGCCAACAACAAAACACCGATGATAGCTATGGTCATACGCTCGGACATGTTGAACATTTCACAACAGGTACAAGACTTCACTTTAAAATTATAAGCTTATTTTGTCCTACTGGGCATCATTAAACATCAWTCCCACACTCATTTCTACCCACACTGTCTCCCAGGGATCTGAGYTTGTAGAAGGGCTGAATGTAGAACCAGGATCCCTCATTTCCTGCCGAGTCCAGAGTCACTCTCATGGCATTCTTCTCCAAGAGCGCAGGTAGACGCTTGTTCACAGTCAGGTATTTGTTGCTTTTCAAGTGCAGCAGCTGTTGACATACCAAGACACAGAGTTTATGTAGTTACAACACTTGCAACAAGAGGTGAAAGTAGAAAAAAATACATGGACTGGGAAAAACWAATTTAGAAAGACACAAGAAATGAMCATGCTTAGAAATGTTTGGTGTCYTAAAKKRGGRTGCCAACCTGTGGAGAGTTATRGAAAAGTTATGAAGAACTAAAAATCTTATCTAAAAGAACTTCAATGTTAAAAAAAATCTTCTTCACCTTTCGGCTATTCCCTCTTCAGGAGTAGCCACAGTGAGTCATCCYGCCATCTCTGTCCTCACACCAACTACTTCCATGTCCTTTCTAACTGCTTCCTCTTTGGCCTTCATCTTTGTCATGGCAGTTGCATCTCTAGCATCATTCTACCAATTTACCTCTCATGTAAATCTTTCCTTTGACATTTTCTGCCACCCTTTTATCACAAATCACTCTTGAAACTTTGAAGACTTATGCTCCGTGTATAGCCTGACTGTTCCACCGGCCTCCTTCATATTCACACATACTCTGTCTTGCTACAGCTGAGTTTCATTCCTCTTTAAGTGCATACYTTCACCTCTCCAAGCTCTGTCATGTCATCTGCAAACACCATAGTCCATGGGGATTCCCTGCCTGACCTCATCTGTTAGTCTGTCCACCACCAGAGCAAACAAGAAATGACTAGGACAAACTCCCTACCTCCTGAGCCACTGTCACACCCAATTAATACAATCACACGTACGCAGTGAGATGACTGGATATAAAAGCATGCACCAAAGTGGTGCCAAAAATACCTTTAAGAACAGTGGCTTTAGGTTTTTGGGAGGATATAACAAATGATACACAGAGCAGGAGTATTTTCTGGTTCACAATGATGATGGCAGAAGCACACTTATCCATTTCTTAAAGTTGCAGTATGTAGTTTCTTGAAAGCCCAAAACTTAGAAATATTTTGAAGACGTACATCCTTCAAGTCCCTCCCCTCTGCTCTCAGCCCCCCTTCCTAAGCTCCTCCCCCACAGCAGTGCTCTGAGCCAGGAGCGCGCTGCGAGCATGCCGACTCTGGTTTGAAAAAAAAGAAAGAAAGAAACACGACTGATAAACTGCGCGCCAGAGCGCGTGTGTGCGCGCATGTTTTTGCCTCACAGAGGGGAAAATTGGAAAGTCCCCATGGGCATAGAAGAAGAAGCGTGTGTGTGTGCTCGCGCCGGGTGTAGAGCGGAGCGCTGTGTTCATACTTCTAGATAGCTTTATTGGGGCTTTATTACGGGACATGGAGACGTTTTGTTTTAGCGGGCAACTGCACACGCCCCCTCCTCGAACGACCGGGCGCACCAGTGCGACCACAAATATTTTTAAAGGCGCAATATTAAAAATAAGGTCGCATTTGCAACCAAATTAGTCGCAGTCTAGAGCCCTGTAGTAGGTGAGCAAATGCTTTAAGCAATATAGTTTATCTTGCGGTTTTGTTCACGAGTGAGGGAAGAATGTAGCTTGAGATTGACAGACGGATAGGTGCAGCTTCTGCAGTTTTGTGGACTCTGTACCAGTTTGTTGTGGTGAAGAGGGAGCTGAGCTGTAAGGCAAAGCTCTCTGTTTATGTTTATCGGTCAGTCTACCCTCACCTATGGCCACAAACTTTGAATAGTGAACGAAAGAACAAGATCGCGGATAGGGTTGGGTGATATTGGCAAAAAAAAATTAAACACAATTAATTGTGGTATTTAGTCGATAACGATTAATCCCCTGGAGCCCCTGGATGCCTGTATGTCCTAGTCACATGACCAATTTAAATCACTCTACTGGGAATGATCTACTCTCTGTGAAAATCTGTTCCAAATTGTGTCAAAGGTATAGACTTGAGGCGAACATCAAATTTTAAATTGTTTGGATAGACCAAGTAAAACCGGAGTTAGGATAAATAAATTACAGAACTTTTTAAAAAATGTTTGTGATATTTAAATTGGAAAGGAGCATCCAGCGAACTGACCGGGGAAATCTCCAATCTGTCTACCTGGCGGCACTGATCGTTTTAATCGTTGAGTGCAAAAAAATTACTAAAGTTTTAATTGCACTCTATATGATTTTGCCCAACAATAATTGCGGATACAAGCGGTCGAAATGAGTTTTCTCTGCAGGGTAGCTGGACTCTCCCTTAGAGACAGGGTGAGAAGTTCAGTTATCCGGGACAGACTCAGAGTAGAGCCGCTGCTCCTCCACATCGAGAGGAGCCAGTTGAGGTGGTTTAGACGTCTGGTAAGGATGCCTCCCGAATGCCTCCCTATGGAGGTGATTCAGGCATGTTCAAATGAGGCCCTAAGGAAGACCCAGGACACGCTGGAGAGACTATGGTCTCTCAGGTGGCCAGGGAACGCCTTGGAGTCCTTCCAGAAGAAGTGGCTGTGGAAAGAGAGGTCTGGGCTTCCCTGCTCAAGCTGCTGCCCCCGCAACCCGATTTTGGAAAAAGCAGAAGATAGTGGATGGATTCAAATCAAATTAAAAAATATATTAATAACTTTATTAAAAGGTGATTGCAGCACTTTTTATACATCTGGACCACAATGGAACTGGTCCAGCTCCAAAACTACAACACCTAGACTCTTTAAATATGGACTAGGGCTGTGTGGTATATCCGGAAGACAGTAGAAACGGTATGAAGTTGGCCTACGATAGAAATTTACCCTCTACCGTCCTATCATCACTACGTGATCGCACCTGTGTCAGCATGGCTGTGAGTGCAGAGACAACTGTGCAGCAGGAGTTCGAAATATAATGAAGAAATTCTAGCGTTTTAAAACACGCATAGAGAGAATAATCCTCAAAATTTCCTCCTTCAAGTTACGTCATGTCGAGGGATCATTTCCTCCCTCTCCTCTCCTCTCGCTGCACGTCGCACAGAGCGAAGCTTTAACAACCGCAGTTTTTCACACCCAGTTGTCAGAGAAAAACTTGCTTTTTAGGCAATGTTACCCACAGAGATGATTATAAAAAAAAACGTGGACGTTCCTTCAGTTATAAATCCATCTTGCTAATGTAAAGTCGGCTTCTGCTCTGATGATGAAGGTGAGCGCGCAGCGATGAAGATGAGCGTGCAGCGATGAATATGAGAGCGCAGCAGAGCAGCAGCTTATAGCAGGCAGAAGCTCATTGTTTGGAAGGCAGATATTAAAGCAAAAATGCTGGGTTTGATTAAGATTACAGTTCTCTGCAAAAAAATGCTCTAAAAATTACCTTATCTTTACTTTTTATGACAGTTTTCTACCGCAATATATACCATTACCGTGAAGGGGTTCAGTTTATACCGTGATATGAATTTAAGGTCATACCGCCCAGCCCTAATCTGGACTAGATTATTCTACACTAATAGCAGAATTAGGGCTAGGCGGTATGACCTCAAATTCATATCACGGTATAAATTTAATTCCTTCATGGTAACAGTATATATTACAGTAGAAAACTAGCATAAAAAGTAAAGATAATGTAATTTTTAGAACAGTTTTTTGCAGAGAACTGTAATCTTAGCCAAACCCAGCATTTTTTCTTTAATATCTGCCTGCCAAACAATGAGCTTCTGCCTGCTGAAATTATCAGCTCTGCYGCGTGCTCGTCTTGTTCATCTTCATCATCAGAGCAGAAGGCGACTTTACATTAGCAAGATGGGTTTACGACAGAACAAACGTCCACGTCTTTTTTTAATAATCTCTGAGGGTAACAATACATAAAAAAACATATTTTCTCCGACAATTGGGTGTGAACTAACTAGAGCTGAACAATTAATCGCATTTGTGATAATCTCGCGATATGTTAAAACAAGATTTTCTAACCGCACAGGCTGCGATTTGACTGGTCACGTRATTTGGGACTGAGCCGAGCGGAGCAGTGTTGCTAACTTAGCGACTTTTCAGACCCCTCTAGCTCGTCTTTTTTTCCCCCAAAAAGCGACTAGCGACAAATCTGTCGACTTTTCCCTGTGTTTTTGGAGACTTTTAGAAGCTTTGGCGACAGCACTGTTCTCCTTTCCTCCTCTTCCTCTCCGCAAGCAGTGAGTGGTGCGGTGAGCCCCTCCCCTCTTTGACTGAAAGGCTGGTTTATACCTCTTGTCGCATGTCTTTTACTCCCCGCTGAGCGAAAAAAGTTGCGCAACTTCCGTCTGCACTCCCGCTGCTATCCCCAGGTGACAGCTGTCCGATATATTGCCCCCAGTCAGCACTCCAAGACGCGGAGGTTACGACTCGGTGCGTGTGATTGGTTCAAAGTTTGTGGGYGTTTTTGTTTGGTGTATCACTTCGCTACCCAGTACTCACTTCCAGAGGCCGGTTTTTGTTTGTAAACAAGGATAGTTTCGAAGAGAAACTCGCCAAGGCGGTCCGGAGGTACAAACATCTGTATGACTTCTCTACTGCAGAGTACAAGTAAGGCCAAATGGCAAAAAAAAAAAAAAAAAAACATGGAGGGAGATTGCAGAAATGTTGCAAACAGATGAGGCCGTCTGCCGTAAACGGTGGTGGACTCTCCRTGACCGGTTTGCAAAGACCAAACGGAGAATGCAGGTCTGAAGCAGGGATCCTAGCGGGACCAATCCAGTTCCTCGTTATTTCTTTTTTGCCTTTTTTTTTTACTTTTTTTTGCTGGACATGTAAACACCGGGGGACGACAACAAACATGACAACATCCGACACAACGGACTCACAAATCGAGGTAATAAAACACCCCTGCTAGCCTACTTTTTAGAGAAAATGAAATGATTGATTACAGAAGCTTAAATATAAAATCACGCTTGCGTTGCTTGACGTATGCGGTAGGAGGGCAGAGGGAGGGATTACTATAATGTATCCCCCACGTCTTTTCCAAGAATTAACACTCAATGCAGTCAGTGACGCAAACGCAATTACGTCATCGCTGGGCCGCAGCCGCACGTCTTGCATGAAGTATAAACAAACCTGAAGCCTCGTTCACAGCACACACACACACACCCGGCTGCTGTCAGCTGAGAGGAGTCCGCTCAGCTGCAAATGAATCTTGTATCCGCAAAGCTGCAACTGCTTCTGCCTTGTTTCTAAAGCTGGATATAATATTTACTGTAATGTTTTCCTCTGGTACTGTCTCTGTAAAATAAAATGTCTGGACCCAGCTGTGTTTGACTCACAGATCAGTCACTGCTTCACCTCGTCCTCCCTGTCTCGTGACATCGAACAGTCCGCAGATTAAATTTAAGATTATCACTAATTTAATTTATGTAATGTGTCCAGTATGGTGTCGTTTAGATCTGTGGTTCCCGACCTTTTTAGACTTGTGTACCCCCTGAGCCATTTTGTCTTACCACTAGTACCCCCTCTGTTAACTGTAATGATGATTCTTCAAAACTATAATGAAAGTGAATAAGTAATTAAATAAATAAACCAGGTAATGGCAGGTGCAGGAAGCAGCAGCGTCCAAAATACATCTAGTGCCCCAAATGAACAAATTCCATGAGATTCCACATTTTATACAGGATTCCATTTTGTGTCAGTTTCGTGATTCTGTTAGCATTTGTCCACATTGCTGACATAATAGGGCCCTACATATCTCAGTCTTATTTTTATTCTATTTTTTTTACACACCTGGGAAATTTTTCCATGTACCCCCCTGTGATATACTCGTGTATCCCTGGTTGGGAATCACTGGTTTAGATGAACTTGAATGTTTTGGCAAAAGTGTTAATGTGAGCAATTATGAGCAATACGTAAAGGACACAACTTTTCAAAAGTCACCTTTATATAACATCTTTGTTCTGCTGCACATATTTAAAGCTCTCCTGATTAAAGCATGCTATGACCTGTGTTATCAAGCACAGAGTGTCGTATATGTTCCGAATTAGTGCTGCAGTGCTGTTAAGCAAAGCGCCTTATCTAAATGATCCCAACATACCTGAATTACATTTCCATACTGGATGACTGTTCCCAGGAGCTTACGGTTCTCAGACTCATTCTGCTTCTTCTCCAGGTCTGCAGCATGCTATWAAACGAAAGAGAATGAAAGAAACGAACGAACACCAACAGTTTTCCACATTGCCCACAGAAGTCAACATAAAAACAGGAGGTTTTCTTACATGAAGTTTGTTGAGGAGGACTGTGTCGGTGGTACTGTTGCCTCCAGGTTTCGCTGCTTTCCAGAATTGTTTCTGTGCCGAGTATCTGTTCATTGGACACAGTTTGAAAAGGCAATCTAAAGAAAAAAATAAAAACAAGGAAGAGAACAAACTATAATAGACTGTTAATGGTTAGAACATGTCTCCAGGCTGAGCTCAAACATGACAGATTACAAGTCTGTATCTTTCAGGTTAAATGGGGTGTAAATTTGAGTACTTCACATAAGGCATGCCAGGTTTGGAGTGCAGCAGTCAAAATTAATCAAATCTTGTTCACAGGGCTGGAATTGTCTTAAATCAGTCAGACATTATATATTCTGAGTCATTTGTTTCTTGAAGGCCAACTAAAGTTCACCCTTGACATCATCTTGACAAACAGTCCGGACCTCTCGCTCACTGGTTTGTGCAGGATTTGCTTTATATGGTCACATGTTGTTACAAGTAAGAGTAAAAGCAAAGCTGTTCTATCAGCAACAAGTCTAAAGCATCACTTCTAAAAATGACTGGCTAGATTTACATTAACTCAGGTACTAATATAAATGATCAGACTTTGTTTATAGCATGTTATGTTACAATAGATAATTCAATTTAACACAAAGGATTAGACAACATCAAAYGTGAATGGTGGAATAACTAAAACTGAAAGGTCAGCCATTATTAGGAATGTAACAATTATTTGAGAATTGATTATAAATGCTTAAAATGTGAATGGATTCATAACAAATAATCAATTTAATTGTTATTGTATAACAATAAGTGGTGTCTTTAAGACAAATTCAGTTTGATACTTATCACTTTTGGCCCCAAAAGGATTTCTGACATTKTRAAGTTATATTCTGTTACTAAGATTACAGTTACAGTTTGATACAGTTTGGCAGCACAACGGCTCAGTGGTTAGCACCGACGCCTCACAGCAAGAAGGTCCTGGGTTCGATCCCCGGTTCGGACCTGGGGTCTTTCTATGTGGAGTTTGCATGTTCTCCTCGTGCTTGTGTGGGTTTTCTCCAGGTACTCCGGTTTCCCCCACACCCCTAAAAACATGTAAAATAGGTTGCCTTCAGACCCAGTCCTCCCTTGAAAAAGAGATCCGAGATCTCAGTGGGACTTGCCTGGTTAAATAACGGTAAATAATAATAAAATAAAATACAAGGAGAAAAACGCTGATGTTGTAAGAGAAAAAAAAACATACTGATTATAAAATGGCTAGAATTCATCAAGTAGAAAAAATATTGTCCAAAAATTGTGAACTTAAAATTGATAATCGAATCGGAACATGAGTGAATCTAGGGTTGGGTGATAAATCGATTTCATCAATTAATTCAAATTTGACATTTATAAAAATTTAACTTTGGGGAAAATTGTGATTTTTTTTCCCCACCAGTGCACTCTTTGGGGCTTCTGTTGTTCAGAGGTCACCCCACCTGTCCCTCAAAACCCTAAAAGACATGACAATATGGCTGCTAGCAAAGAGGATTTACTTCCCAAAAAGGCACTGTTCCTTCATTTATCTGGAACTGGTTTGGTTTTGGAACCTCGAACTTGGAGCAACAATCATCTGTTTGAAGGCTCTTACTACAAAAAGCAGGAGTACAAATAATTTGTTTCAACATCTGAAACAGAGGCACTCTGTTTAAGTGGGAAGCATCAATTAAAATTGAAAATCGAATTTGGGATGAAAAAAATTCTGAGATTTTTTTTGGGCCGTATCGCCCAGCCCCAAGTGGTTCATTTCATCTCTATCCGCTATACACCTGCAGTTGATAGTCCACCTGTCTTAGTCTTAATCTTCTTCATAATGTCCAACACAGTGTCTACTAAACATTTCAGGTCAGTAGCAAACTGAGCCTGAGAAGTCAAGTTTTTATTTTGACTTGTCTGATAACACCTGCTGTAAGCAGATAGGTTGGGAGACAAGAAAAAAGAAAAGATTTGTCAGCTTTGGTCCTAAAACTGACAAGATGTCATCAGATTTGGCGTGGTAGCCAAAGTGAGAGAAGAAAAAAGTGCAATTTATTAAATTTTTAAGCTGCAGAMGTCTGATCCGACTCGCAAGGGTCCGTCACTAAGTGCCCAACTGAAACTGTCTGACTGAGGCTGTTTTAATGGAACACTACACAGTCCAGTCCAGAACCTGCTTCTTGACTGACCTCTCCGTGGTGACCTTAAGTCTGACAAGAGATAAATAGTCAGCAAATAATATTATACAACTTTATTTAGTTGTTCTTCCTCCATTCTTTAATCTAATGATATATTTTGACACAACTGGTGCATCATATAAAAGGTACTGGGGCGCTTTGTAGCCAAGTGTGAAGTAGTCAGGATGGGAATCGCCATATCACAGACCGAAACAATGGTCTTCAAACAGAAAATAGTGGAAAGGCCATTTTAGTTTATAAGAGTTGTTGCCTCAAATGCACAAAATTAAATTTCTCATAGCTTAGCTCACGAGTTTGGGTAAAAAGGAGAAGACTGGCAGACAGATGACAAACACCAACATACCAATTGTTTATCATTGTTAATCAATCCCAAAGAAGAAAAAGATTTTCACCAGTTTAACAAATGAAACTGATTATTGAAGAGCAAAAGCCAAATAAAGTCAATGTGATTTAATAATGTGAGACTTCAATGCTACAAGAGAATATCAACTCTTATGGTTGCAACTTGTAAGACACTAAAAACAAATCCAATCCATCCAGTTACTGTAAGACGCACGTTAACTAGAACAGGAAACTAAGAAAGTTAAATCAGTGATAAAAATATCCCTCCTGGCTCCATCAGTTAGAAATGCGGTCAGTGCAGGAGCGTCCAGGGATTAAACATGAAGCTACGAGTAGAGAGAGGAGTATAGAAACAGAGGAGGCCAAGGACCAATAAAGAAAATGGGGCACTGGGAAAACATTTGTTTGCAATGTATAATGAGCAATTAAAGGGGCAATATTATGTGTTTCTCAGGCATACATTTAAATACTATACCATAATAAAGTATCTATGTCACCTTTAACCGTTATTAAAATGCTGTTTTTATGTTTAAATRGAAAATAAACATCTCATCACTTCCTCTTCTAAACGCCTTGAAACTGGCCTCTGTCTCTTTAACAACCACCTTCTGTCTCACCCATTTCGG